TAACTCGACGCCGAAGACGACCACGAACGGACGATCAAAGAAGATGCTCGTTTGGTATCGTTTGGAAAACGAGGCAGTGGCAGCCCGTCAAAGAAGATGGACGAAGCAGAAGGCAGCAGCACCCCGGAGAAACAGCAGTTGCTGTTGCTGCGTCGCCAAACTGGAGGTCGACTAGGCAGTTACGGAGGCAATGAAACAGCAGCAACTGCTACTGCGGGACATGGAGCTCGACGAGGCAGCTGGAGGTGAAGCAGAAGCTCGTCGAGGCAGTTGGAGGTCGACTGGGCAGTGTTGACGATGGGTTGTTCGACTGAAGGAGATGACGAAGAAGTAGCAGCCATGGGTTCTGTTTGGACGTAGCAGAAGCAGCAAAAGCGAGGTGCTAGGGTGCATGGTCGTCGAGGAAGGCAGCCATGGGAGCTCGAGCTCGAACTCGACGACGAAGAAGAAGGCAGCTTGCTTGGTTTTTTGTTTGGAGCTGCCTCGCGTGAGGAGGAAGATGATGGTGGTGGTTTGGTGTTGTCCATGGCTGGGCGTAGCAGAAGGCATCCATGGAAGCTCGAGCTGGAGGTCGTGAGGATGATGAAGAAGATGAAGCAGAGGGATCATTCATGGTGGTCAACGAAGAAGATGAAGCAGTCCGCTTGGCTTTTGGTTTGGAGCTGTGTGCGTGTGCTCGTGTCGAAGAAGACGATGCAAGGGCAGCCATGGAAGGGGGCTTGGAAGCTTGGAGAAGATGGAGAGAAAGACAGGGGGCGGATGGGTTTAGTCTTAGGGTTAGGAAAATGAAATGAAGATTAGGAGGGGTTAGGTCATTTGGGTTTNTTTATGGGGCGGACTGGGTCGACCCGTGTTGAAATGGACCGGGTCATGGGGAAGGTTGGGTATCTTTGGGCTTGTGGTTTGAATTTGAAGAAAAGGCCCAATTCCGATTTTCTTTATATTTTTTGCTCTATTTTCTTTCACTTTCTAATTAATAAAACTAACATTCTAAATTAAATTATAAACTAAATTAACTTATAAAAAATACTAATTAATTCCTAGCGACAAATATCATACATAATTAAACACCTATTAAAACAAAATTTCACAATCTGACATTGAATGCTAAAAATGCAAACGGTGCATATTTTTGTAATTTTCATTCTTGTAAAACAAACTTAATTATTCCTAATTGTAGAATTAAATCCTAAATGCAAATGCGACATATTTTTGTATTTTTTTATTAATTTAACAAATAAACATGCACAGACAAATACAAATAATTATCCAAAAATGTCACAAAAATTCTCAAAATTGCATACCAAGGAAAATCGTTTTATTTTAAATTTTTGGGAGTAATTCTTTCATAGGGCAAAAATCACATGCTTACAAGGGTCATGCAAAGAAAAGAAAAATTATACATTTCAGATATCTTCTGTAAGATTAAAAAAAACATATATCTTCGGTAAATCTTCTAAACATACTAATTATCAATTATATACATTATCACCTTAATTTATACTTAATCATGTAAATTCATACAATTTAATGTAAACATCAAATTTATTCCTGTGCAAGGCGTTCACAAAATACATAAAACAAGAACTTGGTAATAGACAAGGTAAAATGGTCTTTGTTTTTATAAAATCATCAATCAATAGTAGGGGAAAAATTTCAACAATCAATGAATGAAAATTGAATTAACACGAAATTGATACGGTTTTCACTCTAAGCAAATTTAGGGCCCATTTGGTCATAAAAAATATTTCTTTTTTCGAACTTTTTTTTTTTTTACTTCTGTTCGAATTCAGCGTTTAGCCATAAAATTTTCGATTCACTTAAAAATGAATATCAGAATTTTTTGAAAATTCGAAAAACTCCAAAAAGCTTTTTTTCACTTCAGATCACTCACAAAAATTAAAAAACAACCCAAAATTATATTTATGACCAAACACAACTCTAATTTTCAAATATCATTTTCACTTGAATATTTTTTTCACTTTTTTCCTAAATTTTACAATTCTTATGTCCAAACGCCCACTGAGAGAAGCTCATCTTTTATTTTTTGGGACACGTCTAGTTAGACGTAGTACAAGATCGTAAATAACTCAACGAACAGAGAAAAGAGGAATAAAAGGACAGGATCCAACAGAACTCTGAAATTGTGGCGTGATCAAGCTCGCCCTTCCAAAATCCGAGTCCCAAATTCCACTTGAATGCAAAAGAAAATGGAACTACTAAAACTAAAAAAGAGAGCACAGCTTTAATACTGCTAATTAAAGACAAAACACTTTTGCAACTTGCTGTACAAATATTTGAAATTTGACACTTGCAACAAGGCAATGCTCCAAAAGTCAGTTTAAGACCCCTTGCACCATTTTGTTTATGTAAACCGGGTTTACATAAACCCCTTGCTGCTCCTATGTGCACAGCACGGGCCAGAGCAAGAGAGACAAAAGGCTAAGAGTTTTATCTACGTTCATAGTTTACAAATGGGAATGAACCAGATGATCTGTGAGTTCCCACCATTCCAGGAAAACGTGGATGATTACTAGACTGAGATACATACCTAGGATATGAAAAATTAGGATAGCTTCCATGATCATATTGTTGATGTTCTGGAGCAGGCAGAGCATAAGAGGAATAAGAGCTTAAATGTGATCTTGGTGCTGAATGCCAGTTAGATGAATAAGAATATGGTACTCCTTGGCCATAATAATCTGATTCAAAATGGCGGAAATTATTCGCTGAAAAATAATTGAACTGTAATGAGGTCTCCCCAATGGCAGGCACAAAGTTTGGATGCCTCATAGGGGCTCTACTATTTCTGGACTCTGCCAAATTCAATCTCCCAGGTGAACGAGGCTTTTCATGGTGGTGTTTTGTTCTTTTGCTTCCTACCTTTGCTTTCCCGCGTTCATCAATAGAACAATTATGTTTCTTTACTTTTCTTGTCTGTATCGTCTTGCTTGGCCTCCTATGATGATCAAGTTTCTGACGCTTGTTACCTACATGTACCAAAAACTACATTAGAGTAAACATAAAGGTGATACATCAATTTAATTTTCAATAAGGGCACCTTTATTTTTAGAGGATGCTTTTGTCGGCTTTATCGATTTTGATTTTCTTGTTGCTCTAATAAATCTTGCTGCTTCTCCACGTTTGTGCTTCTCTGCAAGCACTTCTAATCTTTCCTTTTCATTCTTCCATCTCTAATAAAGCAGCAGCAAGAAATACCGTTAAAATGTTAGAATATCTGAAAGGAATTGCAGGTACTCCAGAGTAGCTGCGGGTTCACCTGTCTGAAAGTCTTCAACTTATAAAGGTTTCGTCCCTTTACAAGCAATGGAAAAAGTGCAGATAATTGTTTAACCCCTCGACTCCATAACACCTCAACCTTGTTAATCACAAAAATTAGAGGATGGAGAAATTTTGAGCAAAACTTTGCGCATGACATTGCACGAAAGGGTTATTATTAGAAGGATGATACAGCTAGGTATTCAAGTGCTACAATTGGATTTTGTGCCAAGTTGCAAGCTTATATCCACATAACTATGGGTCAAGATTTCAACCCTTATACATCTCTCAAAACTTTCTATTGAGCCTTACCGTAAAGGTATGCTGCTGTTTGGCAACACCATAACTCTCCTTAACAATCCTCCCAGCAATGGTTCTCTTCCCTAATAGTTCTCCACCCCTTGTCATCTTGTCAAAACTTAGAAACACGACACAGTTAATCCAAGAATCAAAGACCACTTCACACTGACAAAATGTGAAACAAACAGGAGAATCAATTAGGTGAATACTTCTTGTACACTTTCTGTGTGAATAATACAACATCTCCTTTACATACGTCACCTGCAGAATCACCAGTCTCAATACTCAAAGATGGAAAAAAACAAAAGGGAAAATAAAGAAGCATAAGAAAAGAGAGAAGGTGTCATGATGCCAAATATAAACTACCGGTGCAGTTAATGGTAAATGATGATTTGGGATATAGTCTTTGACCATTTCCATCTTTCATCCTGTGAACAAATCAAGTAATAGGACTTTCCATTAGCAAAAAGGAAAAAAATAAAAGAAACTACTGGGAAAGGAACAAGAGATTTCAAAATATAGACTTACAACATCATACTATTTACAATTAGTTCCTTACTAAGTGAAAACTGAGACCATGAAGAATTAATGAATTGTGCTGCCGCTTCAATCATGTTGTGGTTAGACCGGCCATGTTGTATGGGGCAGAGTGTTGGCCGGTTAAGAACTCCCATATCCAGAGGATGAAGGTAGCAGAGATGAGGATGCTGAGGTGGATGTGCGGGCACACTAGGATAGACAAGATTAGGAATGAAGATATTCGGAAGAAGGTGGGCGTGGCCCCTGTGGATGACAAGATGCGACACGTGCAGAGGAGAAGCCTTGATGCACCGGTGAGGAGGTGTGAGCAGTTGGCCGTGGTGGGTACGAGAAGATGTAGAGGGAGGCCTAAGAAGCATTGGTGAGAGGTGATCAGGCAGGACATGGTACGACTGCAGATTTCCGAGGACATGGCCCTTGATAGGAAGGTCTGGAGGTCAAGCATTAGGGTTGTAGGTTAGGGGGTAGTAGAACTTTCCTTACTTCATACCGGGGGTGAGGCGGGATTGGATTAGGGTTGATCTTAGATGGCTTGCAGTTTATGTTGAATCCACACTATCCTTGCTGTTTATATTAGCCCCGGGCCTTAGATACTGGTTACTGTTATTGCATGTCATTCATCTTTTGGTTGTTATGCTTCTGTTACTATTACGGTTTCTACTGGAGTTACTAATGAATTGTTTTTTCTTATTTTTTTTTATTTTCGTCTTTCTGAGCCGAGGGTCTATCGGAAACAGCCTCTCTGCCCTATCGGGGTAGGGGTAAGGTCTGCGTATACATTACCCTCCCCAGACCCCACTTGGTAGGAATTTACTGAGTAGTTGTTGTTGTTGTTGTTTGCTGGAGCTTCAATCACTTACGCTGCCTTCTTTTACTTGTTTTTGTTGAGTGGGAAGCACCAAGCTCACAGGACAATGAGCTATTGCAAGTAACCAAATTAATTCAATATCTTTCTATATGCAACTTTTTAGCACATTGATTGAGATGTCAATAGAAGAATGAAATTTCTGATTTTCAGAGTCATTGTGGAACAAGTGCCTCTGGAACTAAAAGAACATAAGGTCAAAACAAAAAAAAAAACTAAAGATTCCTGATGTATTGGCATACTCAGTGCCATAGCTGGACAATAAGTGCAAGACATTCAAAAGAGAAAAGCCATTTATACCCACATATCTGTCATGTGAGATTAATGTTCAGAGACAAAAGGGGGACAAAGAGATGAAATAGCAACCATGAAGATGAGTGTGGAACTTCCATTTTTCGTAAGTACTAAGATAAGCACAGTATATTCTCCACGACACAATATCTTAACAAAATTATAGTGCAATGATCCGAAAAGGTCAAACTGCTCAAGGAGAGAATAATTTAGTTGGTTAAATCTTCAGAATGATTCAGAAATTAATTGTAGCACACAGATTGAAATATTTTCAGTCAATTTGCAAATATAGAATGATGAGGTAGGAACAAAATCATGGAGCACTTCTAGGTCTCACTGACAATGAGTCAAACCAGGGTTTTTAATCTGCTTAACTATATGCTGTAGGCACATGGTAATATCCTAACATTTGTCCCTTTTACTTAAGAGTCATATACCCTTTTTAGCTACTCACAATAAGCAACCTGAATGCTTGAGACTCTAGCTATTAACGGGACCCTTTCTTACACCACAAAAGAAACAACATAACAGGAAACAAAAACAAAAACAAAAAAACAATGAAAAGAAAAAAATAGAAATGCTTGATGGAATGCCACGAGAGCACACTTTATTGGAAATTGCAAAAATTCTAGGGGTGCATTCAAATACATGAGGTTTACATCTTACACTCCGACATACCTCCAGTGCTCTATGATCCTCTCTACACATTCTTCCTTTGTACCAGATAACCTCAACCCATTTGACCGCAAATATGCTTTATAGTCCGTCAACGTTAGCTTCCTCAATTCTCCCTTTAGCTTCTTCAATTCTCTACCCCCTATATAACATACAAAAGGTTGTAACTTGATATATTTATATGTTAGAGAGACCATAACTAGCTAATTTATTGTTTTGAGTCAGAACACGAAAAAAATTGTTATTAGTTGGAGAAATTTTCTACATTTTCCTCCACCATGAAAAGAGAACAAGTTATGAGAAGAATCAATAAGTGCATTGTAGTATATATATGTTAGGATCTACGGTTTACAAAATATTGTGAATACACCAAATTGTCCATTAAATAACGAGTAAATTATTTTGCATCTTTTACTAATTCTATCCTCCTCAATGGCAGGCATAGGGTCCATATTACTTTTGCACCCTTTCCTTCCGTGTCCACAAAAGCTCATGCAAAACATATATCAACAGTACTTCCATATAAAAATCTTCTTCCTGCCCACCTGGCTCCAGTAATGCAGGTTGCCTAACAAGAAGATAACACGATAACACATTTGCGCCAAACTCATGGACAAAAGAGGTCCGCTTTTTAACTGGGTGTTCAGCCGAGATAGTCATTGCTCCCAACCCCAGCAAACTCTTTTTAGTAGCTCTCAAAGTCTCAGCCCCTTCTTTTGCTCCTCTACTTGCTGATTATTAAAAACTCATGCAACTGCAAAGGGTAGTCCATGGTGTGTCACCAATGCCATTCTCTAGAATGCACTTCCATGGGTTTATCTAACAAAATTGATAGCTCAGATTGGTCTTCGATTGATAGACCATGTAGGTCTCCGGCAAATCAAATAGGCAATTCAACATTTAAGACTAGCCACCACAACATCACAGGTACTAGTTACAAAGTTAAATGTGGGAGCGTGCACATTTAAAGATCAAACTCATTTGTGCAGAAAGCAACTGAGTTTAAATCATTAATTTCAACTAAAAAATAGAACACTGGGATTGGTTGAAGAATGATCAATTTGCTACAAAATTGATAAAAATTAATTAACCCTAACATTTTACTACAGTAACAGTGCAACTTAGTTTTTCTTTAGTTTATCCATACATTTGCCAGAAGCGTAACAGCAGAAAAATGAAAATCCCTATATACCTTGGAGAAGGCGAAGGACTCTGTCGCACCCCGACTCCTTAATTTCCTCTTCGATATCATCTTCATCATCATATTCTTCGTAATCGCCATCGCTCTCGCTGGCCCAAATTACCCAAAAATTGATCATGATAAAATTTACAATAAACGATGTAGTATTTGAATGAACATAATAATAATTCATATAGCCCAGCCTAATTAGTTTGGAATTGAGGCGTAAATTGGTTGATAGATTGATATATTAATTGGAAAAGAATACCTTGAGGCGGAGGAGTCAAAATCATCGTCATCCGATTCTGATAATGGTTCTGATTCTTCTTCATCTCCTTCTTCGGAAGAAGAGGAAATTTCAATAACACTGCGTTTTGCTCCTCTCCTCGTCGCCATCTCAATTAGTTAGACTGATAATTTGAAGCTTGTAATTTAAGAGCAACACCATTTCATTTCAAATGCCCAAATTATACGGTCCCATTCATTCACGAACCCACATTTAAACCGTCAAATTAATCCTTGATCTTAATAAAATGGTACATTGATTTTTCCATTTTAACATCACTAGCTGCTACTTATCATTAGAGATTAAGCTTCTGTGTTTTTAATGACAAGGGTAAATTTGCTTCAGCTGAAGGTAAATATAAATTACTCACCCCGATTCAAAATAAGTCTCTACTTCGCCATCTGCACCCACCTAAGATAAAAATATAAATAATTTGACTAAATTATTCCTAATTAAAATTTTCATATTATTAACTTGTTCTCATATTAATAGTCACAATTATCAAAAGTAGTTATCTCAAATTATTTGTCGTTTTAGAAGTTCAAGACAAAATTGATTGTTTTTTTTTGTTTTTACCCTTAATAATAATTATTCTTGAAGATGAAGATAAGACATAAACAGAATAAATATTCGAGATTTTATCTTATGACATAAATAAAGATAGAATAGTCTAATTCTTTTCCTAATTAATAATTTTTTAAGATGTATGTAAAAGAGAAACACGATACATAATATGAGACAAGAATAAACACTTAACATTAACTAGTATGAATATATTGCTTTGATTAAAAGAATAGTCCATTATTTCTTTTTGACTCGATAAAAGGCGTAGTTAAAAGTGCTCCAACTTACCGCACTTACCGAAGCAGTAAAGAAGAAATAAACCTTTTAAACTTCTTCTCAAAATGGTCACCTAACATAGAAAAAAGTAATTTAAAAGACTTTTAAGGATATAAAAATAAGGGTAATTTTGAAAAAATATTACTCCTTCCGGTTCAAAATAAGTGATTTTTTAACTTTTTTCTTGTGGTCCAAAATAAGTGATTTTCCAGATTTCAAGAATGAATTAATTATTTTTTTCCTACATTGCCCTTGGAGTAATTAATGTTGGAGTATGTGTTAGGAGTGTTTATGTGAAGAGACAATAAAGGTTAATATGATCAATTTCATTGTTAATTAATGTTAAAAAGTGAATTTCTTATATGCGTGAAAATAACCAAAAAATCACTTATTTTGGACCGGAGTGAGTATTTAATTCTTTCTTGATTTGATAAGTGGACGCTTACTTTAACCCCTTAGCCCCCAAAAGGCAAGTGGACACTCTTTTTTAACCGAAAGGAGTATATAATGGTATAATTCAAGAGCACATATGGACCTTTTCTCATTTTTCTAAGAAGAGAACTAATAAGATCAAGATAATTATATTTTAAATAAATATTGAGATGGGTTCTAATTTAGTTAACTTTTCATCGCTAATTTCATGTGAAATAATGCAAAATGGTTAGAAAGCAAAGAGTAACCTTGACAATTTAATCTCAATGGGTTAAATCTTTTTGAAATTTGATATGTTTTTTTGTTGACAAAATCAAGTTGCTATAGTTTCAACTTTCAATGAAGCTGTTATGAACCTCCAATAACAATAATCTAAGAAAAGTGATTTGATTACTAATACATTAAAGATCTCAGTACAATATAAGATAGTAAGAACTGGGTAGAGGAGAGTGAAGATTACAGAAAGAAAGGGGGATGGGGGCAGAATCACAGAGAGAGGCGAGAGAGACAGAGAGCAGAGAAGGAGTTTCTAACAATATTTTGTATGCCCTATCAGTACTAATGCTCAGTCCCTTTTACTGAGTCCTTATTGCAAATCTTGGACCTGGATTTCAAATTAACCTTTTTGAATGTTTTCTGGCTCCGTGGCTTCTTCTCGGCCCAATAGTTCTTCTAGGCACAATATCTTGATTCATAACAGAAGCATTCATCTAGTCGAGGCGGAGGTGCTAAGATCTTATGACAAGAAGTTCTAGGCTCAACTTTCATTAGAATATGATGTACCTAATACCTATCCAACTTATATGTTCTTCTTGCTACTTTTGCTACTTCATAGAGAAAATATATAGTATATTAATTAGGCAAAATGGTCTCGTGGTCACTTAAATTTGTTCCAGTTTGTCAATCTGGTACATAAACTTACGTTCTTTTGAAAATAATATTCTGATTGAAAAAATAATAAAATTAAAAGAAAAAAATTAAAAATTGAAAACGAAAAAGAAAAAAGACGAAGTCGATGTGGCCCCCTTTATAGTCCAAGTACGGTGTTCTCAAAGAAATCTCGGCGACGAATGTCAGCTTAATTCTACTCGCCGGAGGTCTTTTAAACGGCCATTCCACCCGCTTTCTCGGCCGAAGCACATCCATTCCTTGTTAGCCGGCGATACGGCACCGTGAAACGTGGTTTTTAGACAAATTTCAGTTGTTTTTAGACCAATAGACAAGCTGATAAAAGCATATTCTGTTTCACTATTAAATTCATCTCCGCCTTCGCTGCTAAACCAGCCACTATTTAATGAAGAACTTTTCAGAACCTTTGTACTTTTTATTGGGTCTATGGATTTTAGAACCTTTGAAAACTTTCAAATTATTCTGTTTGATTTGGGTTCTTGAGATTTGATTGAAGAATAAGTTCTTGACGAATCTCCAAGAACATGATTATCGAGATTATGGAGAAATAGGGGTTGCCGACCATTTTGGATTTAAGGTTCGGTCGGAGAATTCAGACAAGTTTTATTTTGTGTCTCATACAACTGACAGCTCATTTTTGTCTCACAAATTTGTAAACACTTTTCGTTTTTCATCTGCTGGTCGTATGTATGTATCTTTTCTTTTTTGGGTGCAACATAAGTATCGTAAATATACTTCTGCTGAACTCCGTAACACATTTTTTGACAAGTTAATAAATATGTAATAAATATGCTTGTCCACTTATCCAATATTATGTTGCACTTCGCTACTTAAATAAAGATAGCGAGAAGAGTGTAAACAATGGGACAGGTAGAATTGTTTTTCTAACTTTTGGCTGGTCGACCACCATTTAAAATTAAGGAAAAGTAAATACTGTCTGTACTTTAAAGGCCAATTCCTTCTGATCATCACTGTGAAGACAGTTGATCAAGAAAAATAGTCCATTGTACAATACCATGGCTTATAAGATCATTCAAGCTATTGTTGCATTTCTAAGGCTACAGCTATTTTCTAATTAACAACAATTAACTCCCTTGCTTTCTTTTCATCTTTTCTTGAGCCGAGGGTATATCGGAAACAGTCTCTACCTGGAAGGTAGAGGTTAAGGTGTGCGTACACAGACCCAACCTTGTGGGACTATATTGGATTTGTTGTTGTAACAACAATTAACTCCCTTGCTCTCACACGTCTTTCCTTTCTCCACTTTAGTTGAGAAGCAAGAAAAGAAGTGGTGGAACTTCTCAACAAGAAAGAGATGTAGACAACATTATAGAAGGCAAATAGTAGACATTAGCGATGTCCAACAACTTACAACATCTTGTGTGTGTCCGCACACTGTCAAACCAGCTGAGAGATGCTCTCACCTGCAATCAAACAGTAATTAACTACAGCTTTACAGTAAGAACTCTATATGCAGGGGGCCATTGCTCTGATAACACATGGCCAAAACTCTAATCCTCTCCTTGAAAATCGTTCCGTGGAATCTCACTTGTCCTGAGAAAATACTGAGGTCTATGAAGCTCCAGCATGAGGGACAGAAGTTGATCTTCATCATTTCTTCACTGCTCATTTGTTTGCCAACAATGGCATCAGCAACAGAACGAGAACATGAGTGAACCAAAAAACTCATTTAAATTTTCTGATTAGGTGGCTTGAATCATTGAACTTTTGTAATTGAGCGGCTGGACACTCCATGCAACAACTTTGCAAAACCAAGAAAACTGAGCTTTCCATCAGTATGCCTAAGCCAGTCATGTAGAACAGCATGGACTGGAACAGAAGGGCTAAGACCAAGTTCCTGGAATGCCAGATTCAAATTTCATTCAGTTAGATTCCTCACCAATTATTTGTACACTCCCCCCTCCTCCAAAAAGACAAAAAGAAAGATTGTTACGTAAGAGACAAAGATGTGGCAAACAGTATTCAGAACAGAAATGAACAATCATAATTACCGAAGCTAATTCTTCTATCATAATAGCCCTATTGCCTTCCTTCTCAAAAATTTCATAGGCACAACGTGCATGTTGTTCCCATCGGTCAAGAGCCTCAAGCTGATGAACACTTAATGCAGCAGCACAGAATTCCTCAAAATCCATCCTCCTGTATTGCAGTGCATTAAGCTGCCATGAGAAGGAAAAGGAGAGTTAAGCATCACAGGTTAAACCCAGAGCAAGACAATATCAGTCAGAATCTGAAGTCAATGGATTTCAAAATCTACCGATGCAAGAAAATCATGCATGCGAGCTTCCTTCATAGCATCTGTTGCATGTTTCATCAGGGCCTGATAAGAACACAGAAGGTCAGCAACAACTTGTAAAATACTAGAAACGATTATAGCATTCATTTTTTCGTAAAAATACAAACCGTTTTAATGTTATTGAAGCTTATGGTGCCATTTTTGTTTGGTTCCAGCAACGCAAACTGCTCCTTCAGATAAAATAGCTCATCTACAGTCAATGTCTTTGATAAAGCCTGCAAAAGTGCACAGGTGAAGATTGAGCTATTAAACAAACTTCTACAAGTCCGAAGATAAAATGGGAACCGGAGAACTTTTCTCAATAGCATCATACACACCCGTAGTGCAGCTTTTCTAAGAGCAGAGGACCTCATGTAAGCTTTCATTAGTTTGAATATCAAAATATCCAAAGGCACCTCCATGTTGTGACTATTCTTTATCCATGGGTGACCTGAGAGAGTGAGTTGTTAAGCAGTTTGAATAAATTTAAAGAACGAGAATTCTCCTTTTCCACCTTGACTCAAGAAACTCACCCAAAGCCTGAGCTGCGGTCATTCTTTTCCGGGGATCTTTATTCAACAGACGTTTCACAAAGTCTTTTGCCTCAGAAGATAATGTAGGCCAAGGCTGTTCGTCAAAACTTGGATCAGCTTTTAGGACAGCTCTAAATATCCCAGATTCTGTTCGAGCCCAAAAAGGACGGCTTCCACACAACAGGATATATGCTATGACACCTATACTCCACACATCAGCCTCTGTACTGTAAGATCTGTGTAGAACCTCCGGCGCTACATAATATGCACTACCGACAATATCATTAAGTCTTTCATCTGCAAGGCAATCAAGCATGGCAAGTAAACAACAGGTTGGCGGAGCTACTCAAATCTTATGCAGGGTAGTTGTTTAATTCTTTCTTCTTTCTTGAGGGGTGGGGGTGAGGGGAGGGGTGGTTCTACAGACACAGTAATGGACTAACCTGGCTTCACAAAATCAGACAATCCAAAGTCTATTGCTTTAAGTTGTGCGTTTTCATCCTTAGATGTGAATAAGAAGTTCTGGTCAATCAGAAAGCTTGAGTTAGATAAGACAGAGCATGATAGAAGGCTTACAGAAGCAGATAGCACATCTTCTCTAACAAGTAATACTATTAACCATAGCAAAATGCCACAGCTGATATTTTGAGCTTCTCTGTTACTTGTTAGCTCAGCAGATCCGTTACTCTAATACTAGATGAAACAAACACTAACTTCACCTGATGAATAAAAAACCTAAGCAATTTGAAACTGACTGAAAAGTTGTTCTACTGGAATATAACATTATTTAAGATCCATTAAAGTAAAAAGGTTTTCTTTTTTCCTTCTTCTTTTACACCAGGTGAAATTACTAGATATGCTAAGATGCTGTACTGTCTAAGTAATCACAGATTGAGCATTTTGCTCCTCTTACCTCTGGTTTGAGATCCCGGTGCACCACACCTTGAAGATGGCAAAATGCAACAACTTTCAGTATTTGTATCATTACAGACTTTGCATCATCTTCTGTGTACTTCCCACCTCTGCATGACAAAAAGACACCTATTTAGTACTCTCTTTTCATCAAAAGATTTGCCACAATTCAAAACTCACAAGATTCAAATTCCAAAACAATGGAAACATAGCAAAGAGCAAGAACAACCTCGAGAGTATTCTATCCAAAAGCTCGCCTCCTTCACATAGCCTGAAATTTAACAAGATTAATCAGCAGTACTTCAAAGAGCAGTGTGATAAGGAAAATAAGCAAATCAAGCTCCTGATAACAGCAAAATACAATGATTAAACCCATATATTTACTAATAGAGAATTAACAAAATGTCAAGCTACTTGAAACCCTGATAAATAACCAACGTCTAAAGCTGAGTTTGAGACTAAATTTAATTGCAGATGCAGATGCGACGAGAGTTTGAGTGACCAAAGCTTACTCCATGACTATGTACACATTGTTGGGGTCTTCATATGCATCATAAAACTTTACTAAATTATTATGTCCCGTCAAAGCTCTTAATATCTTCACCTCCCTTCTCACATCCTCAATGGCTATTGCAGTAGTCATCTGGAGAAAAAAATTAGGATCAGATATTTCAGATAAAACGCCAGAAAAGAATAAGAAATCCACTGATGCACATTCAGAACAACAATAGTCATCATCACATTATGCAACCTAAGCAAAATAGAAAGATCAAACTACAAACATCAGAAAGCAGCTTTCTGAACAGCTATATAATTCCACAGGACCTTTTTTTTTTTGGATTTTGGGGGGAGCTGTTGTGATCACTCCCAACTACTGATATGTATGTTAAAAAGGTCCATCCTTCAAACTGTCAGCTGCCTTGACTATACAAACCGAGCAACTGATAACATTGTTCAAGAAGTTTTTTGCTGGTTTCATCAGAGAAATACATGGTGAAAATGTTTCAGCAATAAGAACCCCTAAGCACTACAAAAAGTATGATTTTGGTAAGGAAGGGAGGGTTGGCGGAAGGGGCTGTTGATGCTTTACTTATTGAAGGCAAACTTATCCTTCTCCCTCTAGAGTTATCTGGAACAAGTGGAAGGCAAACAAAACATATTTAACTCTATCTCTCCATTTACTTATGAAAAAGATAAAAGAGCTACTGTGTTCTAAGTCGTCATGAGCATTAGCCCTCCTCCTTGACTCCCCTTACGCTGCACTTCCTCTTTTCATCCCACCCAATTAAAATCTCGATATTCTATTTATTCATAATTCCTCTTTTAGGGCATCTTATGGGCAATCAAACAGATTAACTTTCAGACTCTAAAAAGGAAAGAAACAAAAATCAGACTCTAGTGCACTGCAAACAATAGAGCTTCCTTAAAACAGTCAAGGACATAACTAAAAATAGCATAAATTCTGACACTACAATAGACGCTGCAATTAGCTTCCTACTTCCATCACTTGACAGCCTCTAAACTTAATTACCAAAAATCAAAGCTTTAAACTCAAACCAGCAACTACACCACCTAAGGAAACAGTAGATGATGGACCTAGTTGACAAAAAATTACAAGTAGTAGTATGAATAGACATTTGCAAAGTAGATCTGACCACTGTTACTCAAGTACTTGGAACACATAGATCATATAGCAATTGAATCAAACTTGAAAAGAAAATAAGAGTATAACAAAAGGCCAAACCTTTGATTTGGGGATGACTTTAACAGCAACCTCTTGTCCCTTGACTTCACCTTTCTTAAACTTAGCTTTACAAGTATACCCAAAATGCCCTCTTCCTACTTCCTCTCCCATCTCATACTTGTTCACAAAATTCTTCGAAAATCCAAAGCTCTTATCTAGCCCCGCGCCTCCTCCATCTCCGACCTCAGATTCATTCCCTTCGGGTATTGCAGACTCGTTCGGTTTTACGGTGCCATGTCGCCTGGCCAACAGAGAACGGATGTGCTTCGCCGGAGAAGGCGGAGGGAACGGCCGTTTGAAGAACCTCATGGGAGTAGAATTAGAGCTGGCATTCGTAGCCGGAGATTTCTTTGAGAACAAATAATGCGCCGGACTTGGACTGTAGAAGGGGAAAAAGGGTGACTTTTTACCCACACTAGGTTCGTCATTCTTCGTCTGATGGCTGTTAACATCGTCGTCATTGCTCGGTCCAGATTTCACCGGAAATATAGCGCCGTCGCCGGCGACGGTAATGTCATCGACGGAAAAATTTGAGGGTTTTGAAGTGCAAGCACCCATAGGCTATTTTTGAAGCTTTATTTTATTTTTTTTGCTTCAGAAACGCAATGTAATGTACTTGAAGAACAAAGAGAAAAGAAAAGAGTAGTTCAAAGTCAAGAGAATTGCATGAAAACGAAATTATTACTATAAAGTAGTGGAAATTTGTGTGTTTGTTTAATGGAGGTTTTACTTTCAAGTTTTGAATGCAAGAGAGAAGAAAAAGAAGATGGATCTGCAGATGGCGATAAAAAGGAAACGACGATGTGTTCGCTTTTGTCTGAATTAGTTGCAAGTGAATATTTTTTTATATTTGAAAAAAGTAGGATATTGGTAGCTTTAAAAGCAATTGAAAATAATTTTTATTTGCATCTGTGGTGTAAAAGCTATAATATGTTTAGTAATTTGACTATTTTTTGTGTAAGTTACAAATCAATATTTAGAAGCTTCCTTTGTCCTTCTAGTGTTCTTTCTACATTAAAAAGATAAGATGGGATAAATATATAAATCATCATAAAACATGTTTGAATTGAAGCCAAAAGCCTATTTAAGGTGAAGGTCGAATTTTTCAAAATCATGTTTCATCTCGATTCAAATGGATATTGGCAGAATCAAAAAGCTTGAGACCTCAAGTATTTCATATCAATCTCATTATTGGAGAAACTCCATATATTTGAACATATTTAAATAATTTGGACCATAAATTTCAATCATGATATTATGTATATAATATCATGATTGAAATTTATGGTCAATATGCTCTATGGTCCAAATTATTTAAATATGCTCAAATATATGGAGTTTCTCCAATAAATACTCTCCAATAATGATAGATTTATATATATATATACGTGTTACGCTATCAATAAACACTACTTTTAAACTTATTGAACGTCAGAATTACATATGGAGAGTGTATTTGAATGTGGGTGTAAGTATTAATTTTATAAACAACTTAGCTAGGGTTTAGCCACAAATTCTCAAATTTGTTTAAAAAATCTGTTTTGGGTGAAGTTTGGTTTGGAGATGAAAATCTGATTGGACTTTTTTTTTTTTGAAAAAAATGAAACGTGACTTATACCTATAAGTCCAAGAAACTATCAAAAATACCCAATAATACCAAACAAACAAACTTGTTAATCTTGTATATGCAAAACCTTCACGTAAAAATTGCACGGGCGCCCTATTTTATCGCCCTCATTTAACCTATACCCATTTTTTAAAAACTTTTAACGTGTACCCACTTTTTAAATAACTTCAGCTCCATTTCTCCTCCTCCTTCCCTTTTCTCCTCCTCCTTCTAACGTTTACCTTTTATGTAGTACGTATTTATTTTTTGTGCTCAGCACACATTGAAACAATTTATGTTTACTTTAAATGTACATCTGTATTCTGTAATATAATACCTTTGAAGTTGTTGTTCTACTCATAATAAGAATTTATGCTGAATGCACTTGTATATTGATAGTTCTTTATCTTTATCAGGTAGGTTCAGAAGGGAAATTATTTAAAATAAAATTTGAATTCAAGGGTATTAATAATTCAGTAAGCAAGAAATAACTGGAGTTTAAAATTACAAAATGAAAGACAAAAAAGCAGAAGATGAAGAAGAAAGAAAAGAACTGGAACACACAAGCACTAGAAAAAAAAGAGAATTAAATAACTTCAGCTGTAGAGCTGAAGTTCGACAGTTACAAAACAAAAACTTCAGCTCTGGAGCTAAAGTTATTTAGTTCTCTTTTCTTTCTAGTTGATCAACCGCGAAACACCAAAAACAGTAGTGATTGCCTCAGACTTTAGCTCTAGAGCTGAAGTTTTTCAGTTACAATATAAAAACTTCAGCTCTAGAGCTGAAGTTTCCCAGTTACAACACAAAAACTTCAGCTTTAGAGCTGAAGCTCACAAACAAAAACTTCAGCTCTAGAGTTGAAGCTTACAAACAAAAACTTCAGCTCTAGAGCTGAAGTTCGACAGTTACAAAACAAAAATTTCAGCTCTAGAGCTGAACTTCAGGCCCGACTACTAGAATGCTGAAGTTTTATGTGATTGTCTTTGCTACTTCAACCCCGTATGCTGAAGTTATGCGAAAAAGCGGGTACGCTTGCAATTTTTTTGCAAAGCGGGCACAAGTTAAAACGTGACACAAAAAGCGGGTATAGATGCAAATGCCCCAACCTTCACTGATGTCATTTATTATCATTTTCACAAACCATAGTCCTAAACATAGATAAGTTTCGCACAGACTCATCATTTTTATGATGAACTACATAATACACTATTCCCAAACTACACCATGATATTTTAATATCATATGTTAATAACACAATCACTAGATATGACAATTCGTCCAAATTGCAATAATATTACAAGATTCAACAATCCAAAAAAAATTATAGTAACTAGCTGGTAGATTAGTTAGATCATAATAGATGGTGCATTTTTTTATAAAATACAAAATTTTGGGGTAATTTTGAAATTGTTAAAAACTTCAAAGGTAATATTTTGGGCCAAAAACAGGTGTAGAGCTAGTTTTGGGATTTGAAATTTGTTTTCAAAATCTGTCAAAATATGGATAAAATCTAAAAACAAACAGATTTTGCCAAAAAAATTTAGAAAAACTTGATAATATCTGTGACTAAACGGGGGCTTAATTTCTTCATATTTTTTTAATACTGACATAAATTAGTTTCAAATACTTTGAACATAAAAGTAGTAAAGGTCGGATCTAACGTTATTAGAGGTAAGGCTTATGCCTTAGCTCTTAGTCTCCGAATTCGGGGGCTCCATTTTTTAAAAACAATAATAGGGTTATAGGTACTTAAAAATAATATTTAGTACTTTATACAAAAGTAGAGTTTTTAATATAAAAAGAAAAAAAAAGTCTTTATATATAAATAAAGTAATAATCTGACTTGCTTAAAAATGGGTAGATAAAAAGTTTTCCCAATGTTTCAATTTTTTACTTTTTACTCCTTCATTAGATAACATGTATTTTTACCCTCCCTTTCTTAATTTGTTCAAGTAAATCTTTCTTTTTTCCAATCACTTCATATTTCAAAAACCCGTACATATTTTTTGTCTTTTTCTTTAATATTCTTACTCTTATTCTTTCTCCAAGATTTTATTAGTTTAACACTCTGTTTGGATCATTGTTCCCCATCATCTTATAATATATTATATTGTATCGTATCGTTTTATGAATATAATGTTTGGATATATTGTATTGTTTGTTATTATTAAATAATATTTTACTGTTTGGTTTGATTGTATCGTACTGAACTGTAACTGATAAGTATACTAAAATACCCTTAATTGTTTAAATATTAAATTTATCAAAATTTATGCATACAAATAATTTTAAAAAAATAAAACAGAAGAAGGCAAAACACCTTAAGAAAGCAGAACAAGGGAGCGAGACAGAAGAAGGCAAAACAAAGGAGTATAGCTAATTAGAATCGAGTTAAAAGCAAATTAGGAGAAAATATAAAACAGAATGCGTTAAAGCACCTTTAACGTTTGCGGCAGAAGTTCTGGGGAAAAAAAGTAGGTTATAGATTGGAGATTTCGAGTTAAAATAGTAAAAAAGGTAAAGGGTAAAATAGAATTGCGGAATATTAAGTTAGGGCATAATTGGATAAAAAAATAGGAAACAATCCCACCACACCAAATTGATTGTTTCAAAAAGGGGACATTTTATTGTTCCGGAACAATGTATTTAACAATACAATACAACCAATTTTAATGAAACAATCAAAACAAATATTGTTTTGGGATAATAATACCATACGATACAACAGGGAACAACCATCCAAACAAGCTGTAAGTGCTCAACAATACATTTAACCTTCCAATAGTTCTATACTTCTATTACTCTATAATATCTTATCTAAAATTAATAATATCTCAAGAAAGACTAAAATGAGTTGGCTATAATATCAATTTTAAAAGAATTATTAGAAATCGATTATAAAAAAGATTATTAACAACTTTATCTATATTGTTATAAAAGTATGAATAAAATGTTGGATTACAAAAATAACCTTTTAATATTAAGCATAATAACTCATAATAAAAGGACATAATCGGAATTCTAGACATTAGCCTTATAATCCTATTAGTTTTAGGACATAATACTACACATTAGGAATCCTACATGATTACCTTTAGGAATCCTATTAGTATAATTATTTTTGGGAATATATATTAGCCTTGTAATCCTATTACTTTTAGGATATACTTCTTAAAAAATTCCAATTACTAATTCAATTTGAAAATATATTATATTGTCCAAAACCATTTAAAAATATGAGAGTCTATATTATTATAAAAGCACGAATATAATATCGACAGACCAAAATAGCTCTAAAATATTAAACAGAAGAACTCATAGGGAAAGGACATAGCTGTAGTAACTTATTTTTTTGAACTACAATAACTTCTATGTTAATTTTTTTAAATATTTAAGATTTTAAAATTAATACAATCTTGTCTATTAAATTCTTATTAAAATATGTAGGAAGGTTTAATAAAATCTATTTCGTAAAAATCCTCCATATCGGTAATATATTATCACTCTATAATATTCAATACAAAAAAAATTAAAAGAAATGCTAAACGGACTGCATAAAGCATTGAAATTGAGAAAGAAAATTCCAGAATAATATATTATTATATTATATTTAAACTGCTTTCCTCAAATAATATTTTTTATTATTAATTTTTCGTGTAATATAGAAAAATATACCCAATTATTAAAGAACAACTAAGAAAATTTTTAAGAATATAAATGTGTGAGAAAAGAAAGAAAAAAGATTGGTAAGAGCCAATACCACTAAAGATTTTGCAAATATAAAAATCTAAAATTGGAATGTCATCGATCTTTTTACTCTTTAAAAAAAATTATGGCGGAAAAAATTATAATCACGGTTAAATATTCAAACATGAGATGAACTAATATTAAGAATCTAAATCAATAGAAAATAAATTATATTTTATGTTAAAATCAAATAATCAAATCTTTCAATTAATTATTTGCAAGAGAACCCAATTAAATTATTTTTTAAATTCATCATATGAGTAAAATTATTTTTCAAGTTAAAACAAATCTTAGGGTACATAAATTATTCTAAAAAATAGATCACAAAGTAAAAAAGATTAATATAGTATTAAAAAGGCCTTACAAGTGTTTGAGGAGGCACAATCAAAGCTAAATCCTGAACAAGAATAAATTTTCAAGACTATATTATAAATAATCGACTCTGGTATAGCGGGATTATCCTTTGTGGATGCCTCCGACAGAAT